CCTCAACAATATTCTTGGATACAGTCTTAGAATATTTCATAGAAGATTTGTATTTCTTATAAGAATAAGAGCCAAAGATTTACTTACCTTTTTTTTCAGCCAATCTCCCTTTGAACCTATCTTCATGTTAATTTAAGGTTCCAAACAAATCATGGATGTCTTTCTTATTAAGATTCTTGGTGATCTGTAAGGAATCTGAGAAACTATCCCATTCAGGCCTTAAGTTTTTTAGAAACTTAATGTTTATTTCATTATTGGTCTTCCTAACACTATTCCTCCTCATATAATTAAGTATATCATTGAACTTCTTGTAATAATCATAAAGAGACTCTGACTCTCTTGCTTTGAAGGCTTCATAAGCACCTATGCATGATTTGAGCTTGTTTTGCATAGCCTTAGGCCCACCTTGCATTTGTGTTTCTATCTCATCCCAAATCTCTTTTGTAGACTTTAAATTATCAACTCTGTTGAATATTTTATTGGGTAGAGCCATAGTAAGAATTGTCATTGCTTTTCTGTCTACATTAGCCTTCTTTTTCTCATCTTCTGTAAAATCTTTCTTAGAGCTTGTTTGTTTTTTGAAAAAAACCACTTAATACCTCTTAAGTCTGAATCGGTCAGACATTTTTATTTTCAGACCGTTTGTTTTTTTTTATAAATAAGAGCCGAAAAGCTCTTATTTTGCTCTGAAAAAAAAGTTATAACATTATCACTTGAATCCTCTTAATCGCTCCCTCCAGGCTCTCCCTCGATCCTCACCTCCAAATCCAGTCCTCCAAATCTATCTCGCAAGACATTTGATCTCCAAATCGATCAAGACCCAGATCGATCCACACACTCTCGATCTCCAAGGTATGTCGATCTCCTTCTTGATTTCTGTTTTGATTATGGTTTAAGCTCTGTAGTTCGTCCCTGTTTGCTCATCTAGATATAAATGGCAACTTGTGAACATATATTTAGATGATGATTGGGAATAGGAATTTTGAGAGTGAATGAAAATCAGCCAAATCGGACTTGTAGTTTGTTTCTGTTTGTTCGTCCCTGTGGTTCAGTCCTATTCGGTATTTAACCCAAACAGGACCTGTGGTTTTGTTGCAAGTATTACCACTATGTCAAAAACAGAAACACTTATATAAGTTAAATTGCACTAAAGGATGAACCTTGGTTAACAACATTAGCCTAGAAAGTCATTCAATAGCGAATTTCATAAGACATGTTATCGACATCTAACCTCATATCTTGGTGTCTATCATGCAACTCAGCAACCCCGTTTATAAATGGATCAAACAACACGTAATCATGATGATAGAGAGTGGTCTAAATATTACTTGGATTCCATGTGATCTAAATATTACCATTTAGATGTGATATGAATTATGTGATCTGAAGGTTACCAGTTTGGATTATCTCTTCTGGATCTCTCAATCTAGGTTATTCTGTCCATATGTATGCATTTGTGTATATATGAACAATGCATTTACACCTATTATTTTTATCTAATCTTTCCTGCATCAAGGCTCTATAGATCAATCATTATTTCTGGAAATATTGTGTATTTGCCCTGGAATCTTTCATCTATTATTGTGGGCTTCTAGGCTAATATTAACAGGTTGCTACTATTGTGCGAAAAGAACTCGAAGACCTTCTAAAAGTCTATGTATGGGATGGTGAAAGTAATCTTAGCTGAATAATAATATCTTTGAAACATTCTCATAATTGAAATTTTCAATTATTTTGATTTGTTTTGCTACTGTTGTTCTTTAACATTTAAGGTTTTGTATCTTGTCAATGTAGAACCAAATCCACACAAATATATAACATTGTTCTACCTCTTTTTTAGGAAGCCTGTATATGTAGTTGGAGTTGAGTGTTGTAAATGGAAATTCAGCAAATTTCATAAAGCTCTAAAAGAAAGAGGTCTGGTTCGACCATTTACAGGTCTTAAGGATGTAAGTTGGCTGCTACTATCAACTCGACCATTGACCCTTACGGGTTTTTTTTAATGTAAGACATAATTTGACATGTGAAAACCTTTTAGATGTTGGACAGCTGGAGTTACCCACCTCTAAACGACACTACAGAGGCTGTAAATCGTGTACATGAAGCACTTGCTGACCGAGGATGGAGATTGCGGCCATAGGAAGGATCACCTTCTTTTTTTTGGCTTAATCTGCAACATCTAGTACACAAGATTGGTGCAGATATAGCAGAGACTGGTGAGACTTTTTGTTTCTATTGTTATGCATTGGGGGATTATAGATATTGTTTGGGTACAACTGCAAACACCTTTATTGTGAAAAGGAAAACCTTGAGGGGAGGGATAGAGATTGATTTGTGTTCTTTTGACTATACATATTTGTGGTATTGAAGTTAATAAAACATTGTTGTATCATTCAAACAGTTTTTTGAATGTGTTAAAAATAGATGATAGTTTACAGATGGTTTAAATGATTGGATATTTCAGTTAAATTTAATTGAAATGAATTGATTCAGATTTCAGACGTTTGTCAGTTTACAAAAACAAACAGTCTTATTGATTCAGATTTCAGACTGTTAGACCCCATAAGTCTTGTGTGGAAGTAATGAAGACAAACAAGTGATGAAGAACCAGAAGGCCGATGGAAGACTTCAAGGCAAAACAGCTAAGTCTGAACAACAACCAGAGGGTCGATGAACTGACCAAAGTTGCGATGGAAAGAGCATCTTCATAGCCCCTCTGGGTACCAATACTTGGAGTTTTCCACACTAGTTCAACCAGAGGCATGCGATGAAGATATGAAGATAAGGTTGAAATAATGCCCCATGGAAGACAATTGGAGATGACAAATCAACAGCTGGATTCTACAAAGTTTATCTTGTTTTGTTAATTATCTATGTTTAGATAAACTTTATCTTTCCCTAGAAGATTTGTTAGATAATCTCACTAAATAGTTATCTTCTTGTCTAAGATTACTAGTATAAATAGGTGGTTAGGCCTATTGTAATCTTTGACTCTTTTTACGTTTTCACAATCATTGAAATAAAGTGAAACCTTTGACACTCAAGTATATTTTTTGAATGTTCATCAATTGTTATTGAGTGTTCATCTTTTTATTCATTCAAACTATATAATTAGGTTATTCTTAACTTAATTATCAGTGTTATTGAGAGATTTGGGATCAACACAGACGTAAAAACAAATAGTCTGAATGATCCAGATTTCAGACTTCAGACGTAAAAGCAAACAGTTTGATTGATTCAGATTTCAGACTTCAGCACCACCTCTTAAAAATCAGAAGTGAAATCAGACTTAAGACTTCAGCACCTTTTTAAAAACAAACGCCACCTTAGCCTTTTTTTATTTTCGATGTTAGTATTTCTAGAGTATCATCAGTCCTTGGAACAGTAAGAATTTTAGTATAACTCCCATAAGGTCCTTCTGTGATGGATCTCATGAGGTCTTCATTAATATTATCAAGAAATTGAACCATCATGATTTTTCACCGGTGATATTCCGCAAAAAATGATGCTGGAGGCTTTGTCACAGATCCAATACTAACATATGAAAGACATTGTTAGACCTTAAGAATCAAACAGCTGAATTGAATTAAGATTTCAAGAAAGTGAAATTGTACTTCACAAATCAATTTTGATCAAAGCTAATCAAGAATGCAAAGTAGCAATTTTTGACAACTGCGGAGACGATTAACATAATTTACAACTGCAGAGATGATTAACGTAATTTCGAAACTTTAGGGAGCAATGTAGCTATTCTTGACAAATCACATGAATGGATAGTTTTACACTATAATTTAATTACAATATTTAAAATTAATATCTAATATGTCTTTTAATAAAACCAAAAAAACATAAACATGTAGACAATTATTTAAGTCTTTTGAAGATTGAAATGTAAAAACTAATACAAATGACGACATATTTGGTAGGGCGCACGTTAGCTTATGGGAATGAGCTTATCTAAACTAGCACGTTTGGCACCTAACAAACTACATTATTTTTTATTAAGTGACACGAATAAACTACTTATAACCTAATTGTTCCAAATTCACCCAGAATCAGAAATTTTAGGAGTCGTTTATTCAACTCTTATTCGGTAAGTATTTATCGGTAAATTTAACATTTCTACTTAACTTATCGGGTAACAATCGTCACTTCACTAATCGGGTAAGACTCTCAGTCCTTGTTATTGCCCTTACTGGAAAAGATTCTCGATCTTTTTCATATTCATTTGATAAGGTAAATTAGCTCGGTAAACACTTATTGAGAAACTTTTAGTAAATAGACCCTAAAAGACAACATATAAATATTAAACATCATTTTCACCGCAGGAAAGATATACCTATGCATAAATATTTAACACAATAGTGTTTTATAGATGGGAGAATTTTATTTTTAACAATTCATCTTTAACACAGAGGTAGTATCCATAGATGAGACAATTTATCTTTAACACAATTAGTTAAGGGGTTGTTTGACAGTTGTTGAATGGTTTGGTGTATAATAATTAAGTGGTCAGAATGATTAAGAGACTCTTATAATATAGTGTAAAATGAAATATAATTGTTTGGTAATTATTCAGAATGAAATTAAAGTGTTGAATGGTTAAGGGATACATAAGATACAAAACCATTCAAAGGGTTTTAGAACCATTAATAGGCAAACTTTTTTTTGTCAAACAATAATCATTTTTTAACGATTCAGATGTTGCCTTTTAATTGAACCATTAAGAGGTTTTAGAACCATTAAGTGTTATCTGTCATCAAGATTTCTTTCTAAGTGTGACTCGATAGATTTATATCTTTACACATCTATAAGTATAAACTATTTCATATGTTTATAAATATGATAGATATTAATTTCTTTCTACATATTTTTTATTTATCAAATATGAATTGTAAGAGAATGATGGCTTGATAACCGGTGCTATCGTTACGAGATTAAATTGACGAACTAATAATGACACATAGATTCTTCAAAACACGAATAAATAACGTTTTAGAGAGACAAAAACGTATAAGTATTGTATATTATGAATCGTATTTTTTATATGATAAAAGTAGCTTATGGTAATATAAGTGACCATATCTTGGGTTCATTGTACATCATATACGATAGTCGTCGATGATAGTTTTTCCCTTGAGTTCCCTCGAAAATAAGTTCTTTAAGAAATCAACAAGAGTTACACTTGTAAATCTTGCTGGTGTCTCGGGAGTGATGAGGCTTGGTGCCGGGCCAAAATCCCCATCCATATTTGGGCTTAGAAATGTGGCTATTGATAACCTCTTCTTCTCGGAGTTCACAATTGCCCTATGTTCAATGCTTTTATATGCTCCATTAGTTACCATCTGAAAGTAAACAAGACGTATGTTATTCATTTATACCATTAACATCTACTATATATCCGTTCTTCATTTTTTGAACTCTATCCTAATCTAATTAATCTACGTTGAGTTAGGGTTTGGGGGTAGGATGTACTTTCAAACAAAGTAAATTGAGCCCATGCATGATTACATATCCGTTTCCTTTCACATCAGATATGATGGTGTAGACATGTCAAATACAGATGATGAAGAGAAAGAAATTACCTGCAACACGTCCCCAATATTAACAATGAAAGCATCGTCAAGTGGTTTAACTGGTATCCATTGTCCATCCTTTTTAATCTGGAGACCTTCTACTTGATTGAGTTGGAGAAGAAAGGTGATCCCAACAGCATCCGAGTGAGGGGTGAGACCAATGACTTGGTTAGGTTGTGGACATGGTGGATAATAATTCATCCTCATTGATTGCATTCCATCCTTGAACAATACCTTCATCTCCTCAACCTCCATATTTAAGGCTTTTGCAATGAACACCAGGGTTTTGAAAGCAGCCTTTTTAACTTCCATCGAGTATTCTTCTATGGTATCTCTAAATATCATAAGTTCAAAAAATCATCCTCTTCAATCTAAATTATTTACCCATAAAACAAAATATCTATAAAATTATATAAAAACCTCATACAAGTGAGAGACTAGATCTATAAGCCAATATTAACCATACATATTTAACTTATATACTTATCTTATTAATTATCTTTAACTGTCTTTTTTTTTAAAAAACTAATGTTTTGTTATTAAGAAATTCATGTTTTGTTTTGCTTTTGAAATAATAGCAGTTTTGTTTCATCAATGAAACAATAAATAAATTGATTTGTATTGATACATCTGAATGATGCAATTTTGTTTTTACCAATAAAAGAGCACATGGATTGACATGTACTAGTCCGTTCTAGCAAACACATGGGATTGGTATGTTTTGAACATAGTGTCTTTTCACCAAAGAAATATTATATGGATCAAGCGATTTTAAATGTGGAAAAGTGGGTTTTTTTTTTTTTTTTTGAAGGAAATGGTTGATAAGATATTAAGGAAATTAAATATGTATGGTTTATATTGTTCATAGGGAGAGAGGGAGAGAGATAGATTGTTTCAAATGTAATCCATTATATTTGTACAATCAATGCAACCTAATAAATTGAAATATTTTATGGAAATGATGAGAGTTCATTTATTATGATTTAAATATTTATGGAAGATGAATAAAGTTCATTAATTATGATCAATACTTTATATTATAAAATAATCAAAACTTTTATAAAATTACATATTAATCAAATTAAATGTATGATTGAGATTGAGTTGTATTGGTTGTACAAATGTAAATATTTGTATAATAACTCACCTCTGTATATATATGGGGCAAAATCAAATGCAAACTTGTTAAATGTTACAAACCAATATTTTATGGAAACAATGAAAATTTTATTTATTATGATTTGAATATTTATAGAAGATTATTATAGTTTACTAATTATGAACGCTTTATATTAGGAAACAATTGATTTTTTTAGATTAGATGAACAGTTGAGATTGATTTGTATAATTTATAACATTTCCATGGTTTGTATTTGATTCAAACTATATATAAACACACACACACACATATATAGGGAGAGAGAGAGACCTAGGATCACATGAGACCAAAATGTTTTCATAAGATCATTTTTTTACACATGAAACTTCACAACAAAACGCTGTGAAGGTAAAAAAAAAAAAAAACAAACCTTACCTTCCCAGCGTTTTGATGTGAAATTTCAAGTGTAAAAATATGGTCTCACGAAAAAAGTTTGGTCTCATATGAACCCAACCTTTTATATATATATATATATATATGTATATATATATATGTATGTATATATATATATACATATATATATATTATCAACCAAATAATTAGTATTAGCTTTGTTAACTTGGTATTTTTGTCTTTTTTATATATTGATACTACATTTCTTAAATATTTTATATTTTTATTTACTTAATTATTACATTCTTTAATTATTAATTCACTTAAATCTTACATTTCTTAATTATGTTATTCACTTAATTATTACATTTCTTAATTATCTCATTCACTTAATTGTTTCACCTATGAAAATTTTGATTTCATCTATGAACATATTCAAACTTTTTAAATTTATCCATTCACTTTCTAATTTCACCTATGAACATTAAATAAAAATTATTGTTTCACTTTGTAGTTTCACCTATGAACTTTGATTATCTGGTTTCATTTATGAACTTTAGATAAAAATCATTGTTTCAATTTTGGTTCACTACGAATTTTAATTATCTGGTTTCCTATGAAATGTATGGATAAAAATCATTGTTTCACTTTTTGGTTCACCTATTAACTTTGGTTATATGGTTTCACCTATAAACTTTATACAAAAATCATGTTTCACTTTCTGTTTTCACCTACGAACTTTCTAATTATATATATATATAGTTGGGTTCATATGAGAACAAACTGTTTTCGTGAGACACGTGAGACAACTTTTTTATAGTTGAAATTTCACAGCAAAATGCTGTGAAGGTAAAAAGAAGCCGAACTTTCACAGAAAAAACTTTGTGGAGGTTACCTTCATAGTTATTATGTGAAGTTTTAAATATAAAAAAATTGACTCGCGTGTCTCACGAAAACAACCTGGTCTCACGTGATCTCAAGTCTCTCTCTCTCTCTCTCTATATATATATATATATATATATATGTATATATATATATATATATATATTGTTAACCTAACAATTAGCATTAACTTTGTTAACCGGGGCATTTTTTCTTTTTTATATATTGATACGACATTCATTAAATATTTTATTTACTTAATTATCTTATGGACTTAATTATTACATTATTTAATTATCTCGTTTACTTAACTGTTTCACCTATGAAATTTCTTATTTCACCTATAAACTATAGATAAAAACTATTGTTTCACTTTCTAATTTTACTTATGAATTATGATTATCTGGTTTCACTTATGAACTTTAGATAAAAATCATTGTTTCAATTTTGGTTCACCTATTAACTTTGATTATCTAGTTTCACCTATGAACTATAGAAATAAAAATCATTGTTTCACTTTTTGGTTCACCTATGAACTTTGATTATTTAATTTCACCTATTATCTTTATACAAAAATTATTGTTTCACCTTTTGAGTTCATCTATGAATTTTCTGATTTTATCTTTAAATAAAAATCATTTAAATATTATTATTGATTATTTTCCAAAAACAAATATCAATATCTTATTAAAGTTAAAAATCATTAAATAATATTATTAATTATCTTTCAAAAATAAAATATAATTATCTTGTTAAAAAAAATCTTTCAATAATACCCTTCATTTAATATAATTTAATTTGTTTTCTTCTTTATTAGATTACAATCTTTTATTAATTATAATCGTTGATTAAATAAATGAAAGGTTTAAAATTGATTAACAAATTAAGTTAATATTATTTACTTGATTAATATTTTAATAAAAATGTATTTTAATTGTATGGATGCAAGTGATCTCTTTATCTTGTAGGTTATCATTATTGGAGATAACGTAAATATCGATCATGTGTTTTAAAATAAAATTGATTTGGTGTATTTCGATGCATTTCATTAATGTTGACATTCAATTAGAATTGATTTAAATGTAGAGATCTCTTCTTATGATTCTCACCATATATAATTTCTCTTCTCACTAGAACTTAACCCAAATTCAATATCATTAACATAACTTTATTTCAAAAAAACTATTAATATAATTTCATCAAAAATTCAAAATATGATTACTTTTAAAAATATATTTAAATGTCTACTTTTTAGAAATATATATTTATAGTCTCAAAAAACCACGCGAAGTTTCACATATGCCGGTGTCACAATATTTATTAGAGTTCGGTAATAAAATATATTCTTTCTAGAAACTGTATCCTCTTTATAGGTAATATTTAAAGATATATTATTTGAAATAATAGTATAATGAAAATACAGTACTAGGGTCTTATTTGTATCTAAATAGACGGGAAAACGATTTTCAAGTCACGGTTTCCTCTGTTTTTAATCTATCCTCCAGGAATTTCAATTGCGCTCATATTCATCATCGTAGGAATTGGGTTCACTCATTTACGGATGCAATTTCGAATACTTGAACGGTGGCATTTTTAATATGACAAAGATTGCCAGTTGCTTTACTTAGCCATGAAAAATGATATGTGAGTTTATTTGTTATAGTTGTCGTGTATAAATATTATATTAGAAAAAAAATTATAGATAAATTTCAAAACTAATTAAATTATACATCATATTTTCCAATCTTTTTGTAACTAATTATATATTTTATGTAAA